AAGAAGAGGGCAGGGAAGGAGGGGGGAAGAGAACTCTACAGGGATTGAAACATTGCTGGTATTTTTTTTAATGCTGTCAACTGATTCAAGGACGGCCAGTGCTCCAAATCACAGTGGCCAGTGAGCAGATGGCATCTGGCAACTGAATTTATGGCTTTTGCCCCATTATAATAAAGTAAATGTTGACAAATTTCAGCACTGTGGTGGAAATAGAATAACAATTTCTGAAGAGTTCCACAAGTTTTGACAAGCAGAAATCATGCTTTATAGGATTTCTGGTTTAATTGCATCACACAGACCTCAGGATGTGCAAATCTCGCTTTCTCAGGCTCCATTTCTGAAGTTGCTGAACTTGAAGGCTGACCACTGCACTATCCCAGCATTACAGAACTTTGGAGATAAGAATATGAAATTCAAAATGATCTTGAAAACACTTATATTATCTGGATACTATCTGGTTCTATTTAATTCTAAATACCTGGTTTTATTTAATTCTAGATATTATAAAATGAGTTTCAAAGATAAACAAACTTTAACTTTGTTTTGGTTAAAAACGAAGCAGGTAATATCAAAGGAATCAGTGGACCCAGTTTCCAGACAAATTCCAGATGAATGCTCATTAATAAATTCCAACACTCCTAAGTTATGTTCAGTTTTTCCAGTACCAGGATCTTGTGGACATGTTCATTAATGCTTAATATTAGACCCATGACCCTGGTCCTTTGACTAAACATTTAGTAAACTGTTGATTGATTCAGTATTAATAGTAAAGTTTCATATTTTGAATTGAGCTGCAACAATTGTCGTATAGAGAGCACAGCGTGGGACTTTCTTACTATCTCAGAGCCATGGATGATGGGCGAAAAGCACCATGGGAGTCTGAAGAGCAGGTTGGAGGGGTAATTGAAGAGAATTCTTGGGAGGTTTTCAAAGGAGAAGGGCATACACTTGGGGGCACATCCCCTCTGAAGTACAGTGAAAGGGGACAGGCAGAGAACTGTCACAGAATTTGGGCCATTTGCCACACTGGGAATCTGAATCTCAACGCACCCAGGCTGGTGCCCAGGGGGCACCAGAGCAGTGAGATTTGGGGACAACCTTGAGTTTGCAGATGGAGTGACCTCAGTTCTCATTATGCTGAATCCTAGGGCAGGAGGCGGCCATGGCTGTTGATGATAGCCAGATATGGAGAGGGAGGTCGCCACTTCTGCATGTGATGTGACAACCAAGTTTGCGTCTTTCAATGAATTACCTGCTGAGGTCATCAGTTTAATTGAAACAGCATCTTCCACAAATACTGGGTTTTCTAATCACATGACATTTTGAGATTTTTAAAAAATTGATCCCTCTTGCCAGAAGATAATCTCAGTTGTCTTGAAGGTGGTTTTGGCCAGGAAATTATATATAGAGTAAGTCTAAATTTATGGAATAATTGGCTGATAAACCCAGCTAAGTGAATTCATATATTTGTGAATTAAATTATTTACAGCTATTACTAATGATTACATAACCAGTTTATATTTATGTATATATAATAGAGTTGATTACCAAGAAATAGTTGGAATATACACATCTTGAATTGTAAATTATCTTTCATATGCTTCCTTTCCTTCTGAGCCTCTCTCCCTCCTTTTGTTCTAATTGGCATATGGGCTCTTTTGTGCCAAATCAGTCATGAGTCTACTGGGCGGGATTCGTTTATTGAGCAGAGAATAGAGCATTCCTCATGGTTCCTCAGGGCTGCTACTTCCTCGGCAATATGCTAAAGTGAGTTTCACAGAGAACCGTTCTCAAAGCGTGGTCCCCAGCGGAACAGCAGCATCACGTCCCGAGAACAAGTGAGATGTCAATTTTCCGGCCCCAGCATGGACCTCCTGTACCAGAAACACTAAGAGAGGAGGAAGCCCAGCAATATATATGCTGTTTAAACAAGCCCCCGGGGGAATTTTGATACCCACAAAAGCCTGTAAACCGTACTCTAAGCTGTAACAACCACATGGAGATTCTTAAATAAGAAAGTAGCGTGATTAGAGAGGGCTTAAAACAACCGCCAGAAAGAATTATTTCACAAAAGTAAGCATTTTAAAAAGTCATTTTAGAGGAGCCATTTTTACCTACTCCATATTGAAATGGTCTTCCAATGGTGACCATAACAAATTTTAGTAAAACACGCTTTAGTTACTAAGGACATCGTATAACTTATTTATAGCGAATGCAGAAACTTTCCTTCTATTATATTGGAATTCAAAGAAGTATGATTTACTAGCGAACTTCATATACCACCCTCATCTTTATATGCCTAATTTTGTACTGAATTAAAGTAGTTTACTCTTTAACGGAACCTCAAATGCTTGGAAATCAGCATTAGAGAAAAATGGATTTTTGGATATTTAGAAGTTGAAAATAAAGTTTCTTGGAATAATTCCTTTTGTAAGATGCAAGAAATAGCTTCAAAAGGAAGGTCGGTGCTTTCTAAACCATAATTAAGGGGGCTTCACTTGAGCTGCTAGGTCACAGAGTGTGTTAAGACCGGGAAAGTGGAAGGAGGGCAAGAGAGAGGGGACGTCACCCCTGCTTTATTGCCTAGATCTGGCCCTGGAAGGACTCCTCCAGGGCAAGTTATCCAGTCACCTTGTATTTGTTTGTAAATGTGTCGCAGTAATATGTTGAGCTCTATATCACGTGAATCTTACTCAATTCACCTGCTCATTGTTTCCCAGCTTTCTCCAGTGTCCACTGTAATGGTTATGTTCCTTCTCTGTTTATTATTGCTGTGTTTTATCTGCTAACATTATAGCGCCCAGACATCTCAGTAAAAATGTAATGGCTCTTCTGCATCCTCTTAATTCTCTGTAGGTTAAATGTAATGTTTCGTGTACCATCCATTTGAAGGACACTCAGTGTCAGGATTATTTTTTTATATGTTCTGTTTTTTTCCAAAGGCCAGACTATGGGTGTGACTTATCAAGGGTCAGTGTAGCCATAAGCAGCAGTAAGATTGGTTAAAGATGCTTATTTCAGTATTTTAGAAGAAGTGTTGTTATTTCCTGGCATTTTAGCAATGATCCTTTGGTTGCTATCTTAACAATCCGGAAGTGATGGTAAGGAAGGAATTTAGAGGAAAGTTTTCCCTTCTGCTTCTATGACGACAATATTTTCCCTATGCACAACCGACGCATGATCAGTGCCAGATGCAGAAGCTGCATCCCATCAAAAGGGTTTTGACCAAAGAAAAGGAGATCGCTGTTCAGGCTATTGATATTCACGGTCACACTGTTGGGCCCAAGTTTCATTCATACTGCTAAATGAGATCACGTTCCTTTGATTTACTATGTGTAATCCCATTGGAGTGTGAACCACAGTGGCAACGTAAGTGATGAATTAACGCTAAATGTTGATACCTGACTTGGTTGCACACAACTTTAAGATTTATGGATATATACATATATAAACTATACATATGTGCACACACATACACACACACATATATATATGGTTTTATTGCAGGTAATTAATGGGGCAAAGTTCTTCCTTCGTTTTTTAGCTAGACACTTTATCTTATTTTGTCCATTCTTTAGGGAATGAATGTGAAATCCATATACGTATTAATTTCATGGGTCAATAATCTAAGTAAATAATGAATCATTAGATTATTTTTATCAAAAATATCTAGGCACTTGAATGTAAGTATTGTCCATGGTGCTTACTAAATTTTAAGTTGTCATGTTCGAATTAAATTTAATCCATTTGGAATCGGAATTTTTTTTTTTTTTGCATCCGTAAACCCTGACTCTGCAAAATATAAGCCACAGTAAAGATTCTTTCTCTGTATTTTATAGACAATTCCATCTCAGTACCAGCGAGCATTCGGTGTTTAAGACCATGGCATTTTGATGGATGATAGCACATTCCTAAACATATCAGTCCTTTTCCAACTGCAGCTGGCACCATTATGCCTCTCAAAATAATTAATTCAACACTGCCTTTAAAGCACTATTTACAATTAAGTGCAAACTCACAAAGATGTATCTGCCAGTAATTCTTAAGCCTTTTGTTATCATGACTCATTACTTTTTTGTAATTTCTCAATTCTTGCAGCCCACATTCATCATGGAATATATCTATTTCATTCACACAGTTAGCCAGGATTTCTTGATGACTTACTATAAACCAAGAATATGGTGCTTGGAATTAGGGATATTTTATAGGGCACTTTATAGGTCATACCAAGTTGATTACCTCATATTTTTAAAATAAAGTTCATAACCTTATTTTTAAAAATACAGTGCATCTAATGCATTTAAATGGGGATCAAGGGCTGCAGAATTTTGCAGTAGCCTTTGAGATACACAAAAAGTTATAGAACTGGGTTTGCAATCATTGCCTAATCATTGGATTTTCAACATAGAGTATGCAGGAATGAAAGCCATTACGTATTTTTATTTTGCTTACCAAAACAATATCTAAAGTTCTGCAGCAGGCAGTAATGAATATCTGCAATTATTGTAGGCTGAATTTGACCTTAAATAACAGTGTGTCTTGAAAGTCAAAGTGTGCATTAAATACTCATTCCACAAAGGTGGAATTGAATAAATTCTTGCTTAAATTAAGTAAGACATTCCTTGTAGGAGTTGTATACATAATATCCACCTAAGATGTGTGAAGAAGCAGACAGTAAACACCATTTGTACAGAGACCCTGATTAGCTTTTACCTTTCTTTCCATTGTACAGCTTAACCATTCACTCCTGACAGGCAACATAATGAGAATGCATGCAACAAAAACTTGTAGAATGAGTGAGTGAATGAATCAATGATTAAGAATATTTTAATCAACTCCATTCCTTGTCCACCAAATGGAAAAAGGTAGTGTTTTGCAGTGTATATTGATGTTACCAAGGCACATGCTTTTTAAAGGCTGTAGACAGTACAGAGTAATACAGTGCAGCCATAGAGTCATACCTCTTCGCTTAATTTTCTCCCTTCTTTGTTTCTTTGCAGAGAGATTCAATGTATATCTCATGCCTACACCAAATCTGGATATTTATGGCGAATGCACAATGCAGATCACTCATGAGAATATCTATCTCTGGGATATCCACAATGCCAAGGTCAAACTGGTGATGTGGCCTCTCAGCTCATTGAGGAGATATGGGCGGGACTCAACGTGGTTCACCTTTGAGTCAGGAAGGTAAGCTCCATGTGCCAGGAGATGTGTGACAAATAGTCTCCCTCAAGGCAAGGGTTTGTCCACTGGTGCCTGTGATAACTGCTGTTTTTAAAAAGAGTAGAGATCACCAAATATATCATTTCTTCATATTCTTGTGGATAATCTGAATAAAAAGTGTTATTTCTATGGCAGTTTAATTACCCCATTAAAAAATGTCAGTCTCTTGCACTGGCATCAAACTAGGTGCTTAATTATTTCAATCATGCAATATATTTTACAACAGTATTGCAATACTGTATTTTTGGTGCAGTAGGACTCCCATAAATTCCAACATGTCTTTGCTGGCATTATTTTTGTGAGTTTTTTATAAGCAAACAATTTTGAAAGGAGTTTTATACAAAATTGTTTCAATATTACTTTTTGAGATAAATTTCCTGCAATATTCATTTACCCAGATGTTTATGTTCATAACAGTAGTTAAGTATAAATATTAATTCAGAATGACTGAAGAAATGTTGGCAAGTCTGCAATTTATGAAACGTGTAACTCAGAACTTTACATTTAGTATGTCAAGGCAAATATAGTGGCTTCTTCATCACAGCATATGGTTGGAATCCATAAATATCTGAAATGGATGCTTGCTTCATGAGCATTATTTACAGATCTGGGCTTAGACATGAGCTTCAACCAACTAAATCAATGTCTTTGGGCTATGACCCCTTTGTGATATTGTCACACATCCAAGATAAGTCTTAAGTTTAGGGATTCAATATAAGAGATGTTTGATATATCAGTCTTCACCCTGGGGACATAATTTATTGCATTCTGAAAATGAACCTGTGGTATTATAAGGTAGTTATTGTGAAGTTTTTGTACTTGATACAGCACTTTAAATTTTATAACTTTCTTCTTACAAAACTATTAAATATTAATTCAAGGTCAGATTCGAGTAATATCCATCTAGGGCAGACTATATGTCTTTTTAAATTTTAAGGAGAAAAAACAAAAAACTTGAGCTGAAGTAATTTTATAAGTTCGGAGCCCTTATACTCCAAGGTAATACTGAAGTCTCCACCACACTGATTTCTCTAAGGGCTTCCAATCCTGCCTCCGTTGTGGCCGTTGAGTTCACTCAGCCGCCTAATGCTGTCTGTCTAGGGACTGAGAGTGTAACAGCAATGACATTCTAACTAACGAGTAGGAACTTAAAATTCTTATAAGAAAATTAATATTTTAGACATATATACTGTAAAAGTATATTGCTGTGACAAGGGGATTATAGCTTAGGGATTCACTGACCTAAACTTCATACTTTCTTTTTTTTACGAGACATAAAAGTTAGTGTGTGTAGAAGAAAAAGGATGGTTTATCTTCTTCGTCACTGAGCAACATAACCTCCCAGAATCCCCGCCCCTGGATCTGTTTCCTGGATGCTCCCATTTTCCTCTTTTCAGTTAATCAGTTTAACTACCAGGTCTGTCACCTCATTTCAGTAGGTATCTACTCAGGATTTTAAATAACAAGGAAGGTTTTTTTTTTCTTTTATAGTGGTTATTGCAGAATTTTCATTCCATCTACACCTGGCCACCTTAGTTTTTAAGGATTTCTTGTTCCTTCAGAAACTCTTAGGGAACAACTGGCTTGTCACCAAAACATCAAACTACCCTACATGCAACTTGGCTTATCTGACAGTCTTAACTGGTCTTCTATGGTTTTGATGATTTTGAATAATTTTAAGATACATGAAAAAACAAAATATACCAGAATAGATAATGCTTATAATCCTCAAGGTTTTTCTGTTTTTGTTTTTGTTATTTTTGTTTTGTTGGTTTTAGAATGTATCTTTTTCTTTGTTCGTCAGAATAACTTCTTAAAAAATAATGTCTAAAAATCATGTGACCCCCATACTCCTGTGTGCCCCTGGAATAAGAGAGAGCTAGATTTAGGTCACACCTCTGTGACTTATTAATAATTCAAGAGGGATCATGTGACTTCTCGGGCTTTCTGTTTTCTTCTCTGTAAAAGGGAATTATGATCTCTTCTTAAAGATTGGAGAGACTGAGTGAGTTTGTGAACATAAAACCGCACAGGGCACACTACGTATAGATATATATACATATGTAATGGGCATTTCAGAAATCATGATTACCTACTCAGAAATTATATAGTTTGCCTTTTTCTAGTGTCTGAATGAAGCTTCTATTTATTTCTGAAGAGCTCTCTTCCTAGAAAACTCTGCTAAAGTATATCTTCAGCAAAAAAAAAAAGACACTGGAAAAGTGGAGATAGATAAACCAAGAAGAAAGCTTGGGAGAAGCTTGCATTCAAATGCTGAAGAGATCGTTATATGCTTGATGTCTAGAAATAAAAATCAGTATTACCTGTCATGAGTTAGGAACATGAGGGCAGGTGAAAAAGGTTGGCGCAGTAAGATTTTGTAGTACAAATAAAGGGAAGATAGTGACTGGCTATTTTTATACTAACTATTGCTGGGAGCATAATTTCATGGGTTAGTATGTATGTACTTCGGTGAAAAATCAGCAGACATACTAGAACTCTCTAATTTTTCATGTGTAATTCTTTGGAATGAATTTACACTCCAATATTATTGCCTGTGAAGAGCAATGAAATCAAACTTCCTTACCCTTAAAAATAGTGATAAAGGAATCTCAACAAAAAGCTACTAGAACGAAGAAGGAAATTTAGCAAGGTTGCGGCATATATATGGTCAATAGATAAAAATCAGCCTTACTTTATATACTAGCAATGAATATTTGGAAGGAAAAATTTTAATACCTCTTATAATATCCTCAAAAATATGAAATATGTATAGGTTGATTTAACAAAATATGTGCTAGGCCTGTACATTGAAAACCACAAAATATGACTAAGAGAAATTAAAGAAGATCAAAATAAATGGAGTTACATACCACACTCCTGAATTAGAAGACTCTATATTGTTAAGATGGCAGTCCTCCTAAATCAATATACAGATTGAGCGCAATCCCAATAAAAAACCAACCAAACTTTTTACGAAGTAAGTGACAAGTTGATTCTAAAATGTTTTTGGAATTACAAGACTTAGAAGAGCTGAAACATACTTGGAAAAGAACATGTTTGATGGATTTCCACTACCTGATTTTAAAACTTGCTATAAAGATACAATAATCAAGACAGTGTGGTTCTGACATAAGGATAGACCTAACGATGAGTGGGATAGAATGAAGAGTTCAAAAATAAATACATGCATATATGGCCGATTAATTTTTTTAAATATGCTGAGAAAATGCAATGTGGAAAATAAACATATGGTGCTGGGATGACTGGACACCCACAAGGGAGGAAAATTAATCCCAGCTCTAATCTCGCTGCTATGGACTGAATCATGCCCACCCCATTACCCCCCAAAAATTGTGTATGTTGAAGCCCTAATCATCAATGTGATGGTATTTGGAAATGGGACCTTTGAGGATAATTCAGTTGAAATGAGGTCATGAGAGTGGGACCTTCATGATCGAATTAATGTCCTTCTAAGAAAGACACCAGAAAACTTGTTCTCATTCTGTTTCCTGTCATGTGAGGACACAGGGAGATGGCCATCTATTAGCCAGGAAGAGAGTCCTCACCAGAAATGGACCCTGTCAGCACCTTGATCATGGACTTCTACCGTCCAGAGCTGTGAGAAAATAAATTTCTGTTCTTTAAGCCACTTTTGTCTCTGGCACTTTGTTGTGTCCGCTCAAGCTGACAGGTCACATCTCCATACCTCCACGTGGATATGGACCTAAATACAGAAGCTAAAATCATGAAACTCATAGAAGAAAATGTAGAAAAATATTTACAACCTTGAAATAAGCAAATATTTTTTAATATTACACCACAAGCACAAGCTATAGAAAAAAATATTGCTTAGTTGGTCCTCATCAAAATTAGCAACTTCTACTCTTCAAAAGACATTCTAAAGAAAATGAAAAGGCAAATCATAGACAGGGAAAAATATTTACAAAACATGTATCCAACAATGAGTTTTTATTCATAACCCTTAAAGAACTCTAACAACTGAAAATAAAAAACAAATAACCCATTAATATGATAGTCAAAAAAGATTTTGGACACATTATAAAAGCAGCTGTACTGATGAATAATCCATGCAAGAAGATTCTCATCATCTTTAGTCATGAGGAAATACAGATTAAAACCACAGATACCAGTACATCCTGTCCTGTACCAACGAAATAAAACAAAAAACCCTGGTAGTGTCAAGGGAGATGGAGCAACTCAGACTCTTTCTCTTGGCTGATGTGAATGGAAAATGTAACACCACTTCAAGTAATCGTTTGGCATTATTTTGCAACAGGTGACAGATGATTTTACTCCTAGATATTTATGAAGCAAGCATGCAAAAGCAACATATAAATACTTAGGTGCATAGAGAGTCAAAGCAGATTTATTCTTAACAGTCAAAAACTGTAAACAATCAAAATGGCCATCAGTTCATGACGGGATACAATGGAATACTGCTTACCAATGACAAACAGTGTGGATGAATCTCAAAGACATTATTCTAAGCACTATGTATGATTCCATTTGTGGAAAATCCTACAACAGGCAAGACTGAATTCATAGTGACAGAAAGGCAATCAGTGGTTGCCTTGGGTGAGGAGTCGGGAGAGAAGGGGCTGCAAAAGAGTGCAAAGGAAATCTTAGGGGTGCTGACATTTGTCAAGACACACAAACTGTTTTAAAACTAACTATTAGTATTATCAGATGCAATGATACCCCAGTGTTTTTAGTATGAAAAAAAATGTGGGGAAAGAAACTAGAAGGAGATTTACTATTCTTATATTACATTCTCTCATAGTTTTTGAATGTTTGGCAATGAGCATTCATTACTTTTATAATAAAATATTTCCTCTGGAAAGAAGGGAAGGCCAAGGAAGGAAAGGGATCCCTAAGCATGCTCTGAATGGGGTGTCCTGAAGTAGATACAACCAAGCCTTTATTTCTTGGTAGGTACAGTA